AAACAATCGGTTATAAAGAGAGACATTACATTAAGAGATGCTCAACTACTCTTTGTGCTGTCATGGTCCGGCGCTTAGCCGAACATCGTATCTATAAAATTGTGCCTGCCACAGATTTTCGTCCTTTATGGTGTCGGAAGGGGGTTTTTTTTTAAAGCTTTTTTCAGAAGTAGCGCTTCTTTTTTTACATAGCTCTAGTATCTTACGTCTGATTGTAAAGAACTTTGCTATTTTGAAAAGATAATTAAAACAACTAGAAATGCTTAAAACAATGAAGCAACTTTGTAGCTAAAAATCGTTAACCAAACCTAAAAAATGAAAAAATTAACAAAAAATACCTTTTGGAAGGTTGCGGGCCCAACTGCCAATTGGGAACAAAGGAACGCGATCAGGTACCAAATGTACAACTCTTTTTCGTTTGCTTTGTTCCCAATAGGTAGTTTTTAATGAGCAACCCCTTAAACGACGCCTAATTAATGCACCTATACAAAAAAAACGAGAAGGAACGTGTGAGTCGCTTCTGGGGACGCGACTCTACTTATACCCGTACTCAGTCAGTATATACATTTTAAGCTTATGATTTTTTAGAATTTAAAAGTTTAAAAAAAATTTCACATTTTACACTTTTTTGCTACATCTGTTATCTACATCTACATCTACAATGTATGTTCCACATCTAACAAGTAGATTGTACATGTACCATTTATATTCTATATCTCCTCCGCTAGGGGTTGCTCGCGCACTGAACGCGGCAGAGTGTGCGAGCGAGAAAGAGAATCAGTAGCGTCAGCAGCGCTTAAGAAGGAGAGGGAACCAACAGAAAATTCATTTCTTCATTCTGGCTATAATTATGATCCGATCTGATTCAGATTCGTCAATCTGGTAGATATGGTCATTTTCTACGATACTGCGTATTTAGTTAGTTTTATCGTATCTTTAAAATTGTGCCTGCCACAGATTTTCGTCCTTTATGGGTGCGGAAGTGGGCGGGGCGAAATTTTGAAATACACTTGTAGCAGTGTGATATTACATGAGTCTGGAAACAAAATTTGGTTGCTCTAGCTTTTATAGTCTTTGAGATCTAGGCGCTCATCAAGACGGACAGACGGACAGACGGACGGACGGACGGACAGACAGACATGGCTACATCGACTCGGCTATTGATGCTGATCAAGAATATATATACTTTATGGGGTCGGAAACGTTTCCTTCTCTGCGTTACACACATCCACTTTTACCACAAATCTAATATACCCCTTAACTCTTTTTTGAGTACGGGTATAAAAATGACGTACGTTATCTGCTTCAGTTTTTGTGTTCTTTTTTGCAGGGTTTTCTGAATCTAGTATTGATAAAACCTGAAGAGCATTTCTTTTGCCAGCACTGTATAAACTAACTCGAGTAGCTACTACCAATTCTTCGCAGGGAGTTTTGTTAACGATATCACTAACCCTTTGAATTTGACGATGTTCTGTGCAGTCAGAAAATGGTTTTGCTGGGCGCCCAGAACTAATTGCATCTGTTGCAGTAAATATAATTTTTTCGTTCAACCATTTTTCGTTGTGTTTTTGAAAATATTGTAAACATCTGTGGCACTCTCTCCACCTTTCGGCAACCTTATATCCAAAATTAGTCAATTTAGTATTTATTTTCTTGCGATCTTCATCGCTGAATTTGTTTTCATCAATAATTTGAGAAAAAACATGGCTTCGCATCGCTTCAACTTTTTTTCCTGGCACAGTTTCCATGCGCCATATCGCAAAAAGCGCGTTATTCGAAACTGACATTTGTCCTATAAAATCAAATAAATTAACGTGTTGGACGTAGTTGCAATTTGTTTTAACACAGAAGATTCAGAAAAGACTGGTTTCATAAATAAAAAAAGATTGAAGACGGAAGGGGACGGATGTCAAAAGATCTATTCCATGCAAGTGTCGGGTATGTTATTAATAGAAAACTAAAGGAAATGTTAAGTTCTACAACGATTTACCACTAATACATGTAAGCACAGGACCAACACATATATTTTTTATTAAATACTTACCAACCATTATCAAAATGGATGGCAATTTTAATACAAATCGCAAAACATTAAGATATATTTTGCTTTACCAAAAGCCATAAAGTTGCGGTAAAATGTCCTTAGGTATGGACAGAAAAGTTATTTGCGATTCAACCGCGTGCAGGTACTGGACTATCGATAGGAAAAATATATAAATATCGCAATAAATATCAGTGGGATGTTTACTTTGCAAAAATTAAAAAAAATTAACAGGATTCGACATTTTAATTTTTCATATATTGCCTGCCAGATTGGCAGAATCGACCACTGTGGGGCGGTGATATACACTTGTAGCAGTGTGATATCACATGAGTCTGGAAACCAAATTTGGTTGCCCTAGCTCTTATAGTCTCTGAAATCTAGGCGCTCAACAAGATGGACAGACAGACAGACGGACAGACAGACATGGCTATATCGACTCGGCTATTGATGCTGATCAAGAATATATATACTTTATGGGGTCGGAAACGTTTCCTTCTCTGCGTTACACACATCTACTTTTACCACAAATCTAATATACCCCTTAACTCTTTTTTGAGTACGGGTATAACAACCGTAAAAGGAGTCAATAGATGCAATTACAGCCAATATAATGAACATACATCAGATGAATAAGACTGCAAACCAGTATACCAACAAAAGTGAACAATTAACAAAATCTTTGGAATGCGCTTTCATCGCAGATGGAATGGTCAAGGCCATGACTCAAAACTGCACCATTGATAAGGTTAAACTTATCATGCAGGCTGGCACTTTCTCAACAATGATCGCGGCGGTATCGAAATTCGTTTCCAGTTGCACTGCTGTGACCGCTGCCAATGCCCAAAAGTGATGCCTCTGCATCCAGAGAACCTTACGTAACGGGCATTGGGCAGCTACCGCCACCGTCCGAAATCCGAGGCGTTATATTGCATATTGACCGTGGGAGCCTTACGAAGCGAGACTTTGTTTCTCACGCCAAGACACATGCATGGAGGCGATACATGCTGACAACTTTCATATAAATATGAGTTTGATTTCATAAAGAATCATTAATAATCCAGAAATCAACCCTTTCACATCACTATTATCTTTTATTGTTCGTCATTTATTCTGCGCGCTGGCTAACTTTGTCATCTACATACATATGTACATTAGGCTGGGCCAAAAACTTTTTTTCGAAATTCAAACGCGACACCCCCTAGTTTTGTTACCTTGGATTTAATGGTAATTTACATGTTTTTATACCCGTACTCAAAAAAGAGTTAAGGGGTATATTAGATTTGTGGTAAAAGTGGATGTGTGCAACGCAGAGAAGGAAACGTTTCCGACCCCATAAAGTATATATATTCTTGATCAGCATCAATAGCCGAGTCTATATAGCCATGTCCGTCTGTCCGTCCGTCTGTCCGTCTGTCCGTCTTGATGAGCGCCTGGATCTCAGAGACTATAAGAGCTAGAGAAACCAAATTTGGTTTCCAGACTCATGTGATATCACACTGCTACAAGTGTATTTCAAAATTTCGCCCCGCCCCCTTCCGCCCACACAAAGGACGAAAATCTGTGGCAGGCACAGTTTTAAAGATACGATAAAAGATTGCCGAATCTGAATTAGATCGGATCATAATTATAGCCAGAATGAAGAAATTCATTTTCAGTTGCTTCCCCTCCCCCTCCCGTTTCAGACAACGGAACTCATTTTCCTTCTCGCTCGCACACTCTGCCGCGTTCAGTGCGCGAGCAACCCCTAGCGGAGGAGATGTAGAATCTAAATGGTATATGCATAATCTACATGTTAGATGTAGAATATACATAATATATGTAGATGTAGATAATAGATGTAGCAAAAAAATGTAAAATGTGAAATTTTTTTTAAACTTTTAAATTCTAAAAAATCATAAGCTTAAAAATGTATATACTGACTGAGTACGGGTATAAGTAGAGTCGCGTCCCCAGAAGCGACTCACACGTTCCTTCTCGTTTTTTTTTTCCCCCATTTTCTACGATACTGCGTTTTTAGTTTTATCGTATCTTTAAAAATGTGCCTGCCACAGATTTTCGTTTTTTGTGGCGGCAGAAGGGGGCGGGGCGAAATTTTGAAATACACTTGTAGCAGTGTGATATCACATGAGTCTGGAAACCAAATTTGGTTTCTCTAGCTCTTATAGTCTCTCAGATCTAGGCGCTCATCAAGACGGACAGACGGATAGACGGACGGACGGACAGACGGACATGGCTATATCGACTCGGCTATTGATGCTGATCAAGAATATATATACTTTATGGGGTCTGTTTAGGCAACGCAAAGTTTCTACCGGGGAACTATTTTATATTATAGCAGCTCAGATGTCGTTGCGCCTATGTTTTGGGAGTATGCCTTATGCATCTCTTTCGTAGTTGTTTTGGGAGCTACAGCGATCGGCAAACGTCTACGGTCTGCTCGTAACGCTCTTATACGGCGCTCTCGTACGCTATTGTCGCGTCGCAAGGTGCAGTTAGGACTAGCATATAAGTACTACATAAGTTCAAGAACCACATCGACGGCAATGAACAGCAAGCCGATGATACAGTCTGTAAGCGACAGCCCAGGAAAGCAGAACGCACCCTCTGTGCCAAAAATTGTATTTTTAACTTAACCTCTAATAAATCATTACGCAATCATTAAATCCGCGTGTAAAACCTTTCTCTGGGACCACCGGATCCGCCCCCCTAAGGAACGTCCACTGCCGCCACAGGTGTAATACCACTTTGTGTGCCGCATCATTATCTCAGCAGATTGGGGCTCCGTCAAGGCGCAGCCGTAAACCAACATATTTTTGGTGCCGAAACCCGGGACTGCTTTGCTTGGGACTGGCTGGAAACAAACCGTTGGTCTTCGTTGGACACCTTTAAACAGTGGAAGGTTCATTTACGCAAGGTTAGTGCACTTGTGAGTTGTTGTGTGATATAGAGTTGAGTCATGGCCGAAGGTGTAGTGGAATTAATTTGCGAGCAAGCTGCGTTGGTAGACTCGGTGAAGCGTATGTTGGAAAAGTTCAAAAATGATGAGACCAGTAAATCTGAAGCGCATATGGAGGCTAGATTGGAAGCTATGACCACGGTACATGCGGAATTTCGCGCGAATCATCGTAAGCTGATACGGTCGGAGGATGATTTGGTGAAGCCGGGTTATTTGGAGGTGGATCTTGAAGGGCAGTTTGAAGAAGCGTATATCGTTTGTGTCGCGCAAATTCGAACGGAATTAAACATCTCGAGAGGTCGGATTCTTGCATCAACGCTCATCTCATCCGGTGAAGTGCAGCGAAATGGGTCCACCGAACCTACTGGTGTTAGCGGGTCAGCCGGTGTTGAAGAGGTTAAACTTCCTAGAGTGAAACTACCCATGTTCAGTGGAGAATTTGTGGATTGGCCGGCATTTAAGGACATGTTTGAAGCTCGGGTCCATAATTGTCCTAGACTCACGGATTTGCATCGATTTCACTACCTCAAAGATTCTCTTTCAGATGAAGCGAAAAGGGATATACAACACCTTACTCTGATAGAATCTAATTACAGTGTAGCTTGGCAAATGTTGTTGAAATTGTATGATAATAAGCGAGTGTTGTTTCAGCATTATATGCAGGTTCTCGAGCAACAGCCCATGGTCCGTAACGACGACCCTGTGTCGCTAAAAGGGTTTTTGCAAACTTGTCGTTCATGCATTAAATCGCTGGAGAAGGTGGGGGTGGATCTCACCCATCAGAGCCACATTTTGGTATACCTGATGACGAAGAAGCTGCCAGCGCAGATACGATTGGATTGGGAAAAATCGATAGCTCAATCGCAAGAATTACCAACTTTCGAGGAGCTGTCTACCCAGCTAGACGGTCAGTATAGGACGATGGTCACGACAGCCTCAGCTGACAGAGTGTTGTCATCGAACAAGGAGAGTAAAGGCGCTGCTGGGTCCGGCGTAAAACGCAGGGATGTTAAATCTTCATTTGTTGCCCGATCGGTGGATCAATGCGCAGTCTGTGGAACTGAAGGTCATTCCATAGTCGACTGCAAGGTATTTGGAGGCATGAATGTAACAGACCGGCGGGCATCGGTGATGAAGTATCGCTTGTGTTTCAATTGTTTGGGAAGCAACCATCAGTCTCGCAGGTGCAGGCTAAAAAACAATTGTTCGATTTGCACAGACCGACACCACACTCTTGTCCATGTGAAGCGTCAAATAAGGGATTCTGGGGATCAGGTGCAACAGATCACGTCGAATGTCATAAATGGTGCGCCCGCTATAGGAACGCAAAAATATGAGGTACTGCTGCCTACGGCGTTGGTCACCATTGAGTCATCAGAAGGCTTCCCGTTGCAATTTAGGGCATTCTTAGACCAAGGATCGCAAGCTTCGTTTGTATCGGAAAACGTAGCGCAAAGACTAGGATTGTGTCGACAAAAGACACATTTAAAGGTAAACGGGTTATCCAATGCGCGGATTACGGAAGCATCCTCTTCAGTTCTGTTGAAAATCGGATCACGGTTTGAACCGCAAGTGAAGTACAATGTCACAGCGTATGTTTTGCCGAAGGTTAGTAAGAGGATGCCGGATCGTCGGATATCGATGGAAAAATGGACTCATTTCAAACATCTATGTTTAGCAGATCCCAATTATTTTGTACCCCAAGGAGTGGATATTTTGCTAGGTAGTGACATATATGATGAATTGATGTTGAGCGAGATACATCGTGGACCTGCAGGCACGCCTATCGCGCAGAACACCCGTTTAGGGTTCATTATCTCAGGGAAGGTCCAGGATTATGCAACTAACGCATTGGTACATACGGTTCAGGTGGTCCAGGATGATTCATCTGCGGAATTGGAAGGGTTGCTCCGACGGTTCTGGGAGCTTGAGCAGTATGAGCAAGAAGCTGGAGGATTATCGAATGAAGAACAATGGTGTGAGGAACATTTTCTAGAAACATACAAAAGGTTGTCGTATGGGAAATATGTAGTGCGGCTCCCATTGTTATCGACATTTGACCCTAGCGCAGTGATTGGAGCGTCGTACCGGCCAGCTCTAAAAAGGTTGTGCCACCTGGACAAACGTTTACGGAAGGATGCCAAGTTGAAGGAAATATATTCCCAAACGATCCGTGAATATTTGGAACTAGGCCAAATGAAGAGGGCTTCCTCCCAGTGGAGCGACGTTGAAGATCAAGGTGTATTGATGGCCAAGGGGGGAGCCACACATTGCTATTTACCCCACCATCCAGTGATTAAGGAATCCTCGACAACAACAAAGGTGCGTGTTGTATTTGATGGGTCAATGAAAACGAGCAATGGAAAGGCGTTAAATGAAGTATTGGTGATCGGGCCAAAACTGCATCGGGATCTACCGAGCGTGTTGATTAACTGGAGGTCGTTGAAATACGCATTCATGGCAGATGTCGAAAAGATGTACAGGTGCATCAATGTCCATGAGAGGGATGCTCAATACCAAAGGATTCTGTGGAAACCGGATGAAGGCGATCAAATTGAGGAGTACGCATGTTGCACGGTGATGTTTGGCACGAGCTGTGCTCCATATTTGGCCATAAGGGTCATGCAACAATTGGCCCAGGATGAAGCTCATAACTACCCGTTGGCTGCAGATGTACTAAGACGTCAAATGTATGTGGATGACGTTTTATCAGGAGCGGATAGTCTGGCTGATGCCAAGGATATTCAAACTCAAGTCATCGGGATGATGAAAAGTGGAACGTTTGAATTACGTAAATGGGCTAGTAATTGCACACAGCTGCTAGACGGAATCCCTCTGGAGCACCGTGAGACAATGGGACCGGTAAATTTGCAGGGCGATGAAATGATACGTGCACTGGGCTTATATTGGAACCCCAGTGAAGACGAATTCCGATTTCATTTAAACTTCGATATTCCGACAGGTACACCGACGAAGAGGAATATATTATCCACGATTGCAAGGCTATTCGATCCGATGGGTTGGCTAAGCCCAGTAACAATAGTGGGACGGCGTCTTATGCAGACCTTATGGAAAACAAAACTTAATTGGGATGACCATGTTCCGCTATCTATTCAAAGGGAATGGGAGAAATTCACACTGGAGTTGCCAAATTTGTCGAAGGTGCATATACCACGGTATATAGCTTGGGGAATGTCAGGCGTTATTCCGCAGTTGCACATATTTTGTGACGCCTCCATGAGTGCATATGGTGCAGCAGCCTATTTGCGGATGCGAAAAGAAGAGGAATCTTTTCATGTGGAGTTGGTGGTAGCAAAATGTAAGGTGTCGCCTATAAAGCCACAGCTTACAATCCCACGAGCCGAGTTGTGTGCAGCAGTTATGGCTGTCAAAATATTCAAATATCTAAAGGACCAAATAAATATCCCAGTTGATTTTTCAAAAACGGTTTTCTGGTCGGACTCAATGATCGTTCTGAGCTGGATTCGAGGAGGAGCTACGAGATGGAAGATGTTCGTTGCCAACCGAATCAGCAAGATTTTGGAGCTAACCGATGGGAAACAATGGAAACACGTTGCCTCGGAGGATAACCCCGCAGACCTTTTAAGCCGTGGAGTCAATGAAACGAAGTTGTCTTCCTGCCAATTGTGGTGGCATGGGCCGCGATGGCTTCAATCGCCTGAAACGGAATGGCCAACCCCAGCAGTATACCATGCAATGGACACAGTAATGAGCAGCGAAATGAAGAAGGTTGAATGTAATTTTGTATCTGTCACGGACGAGTCCTGTCCCTCCTTACTGGAGAGCTGTTCGTCGTTTACACGCCTAATCCGCGTCATATCATATGTGAATCGGTTCTTAAGGAATTGCCGTGTTACCAAGACTGATCGGAAGGCTGGCTTTCTCAGTATAGACGAGCTAAGCGGAGGACTCTTGTGCGCAGTCCGAATGTGTCAATTGGAAGCTTTTCCCAAGGAATGGAACATGTTAATGAACGGGAAAGGTGCAACCAAAGAGAGTTCGCTGCTGCCACTTAATCCTTATTTTGATAAGGAAGAAAATGTTATTCGGCTTGGAGGCCGATTGAGAGACGCATTACTGTCGAAAGCGGAGAAACATCCGTATATTCTTCCCTACAAGCATCCGCTGACAACGTTGGTTATACGTTTTAGCCATGCCAGTACTCTGCATGGGGGAGCTGCGATTACACTCAGCCATATACGAAAAAGATTCTGGATACTGAACGGGCGAAATGCTGTACGAAAGGAAATTCACCAATGTGTCGTATGTTACAGGTTGAATCCGAAGACCACTTGTCAGCAAATGGGAGATTTGCCAGCGGTTAGGGTTCGCCCACAAAGAGCTTTTGAATCCATCGGAGTTGATTATGCAGGACCGTTCAACATATCCCCTTCTAAAGGAAGAGGTCGGACAGCAATCAAGGGCTACATCGCTGTATTTATATGTCTGGTGACCAAAGCCATCCACTTGGAACCCGTGGGGGACTTGACATCAACCGCATTTATGGGAGCACTGCAGCGATTCATTGGCCGACGTGGGAAATGCACTCACATATATAGCGATTGTGGGACGAATTTTGTTGGCGCAAATCGAAAGCTGCAAGCTGATAAGTTGGCATACAGACGGTACATCGAAAATACTATCCTCTCAAAACTAGCAGATGATGGGATCACTTGGCATTTTAACCCTCCATCTGCACCACATTTTGGAGGACTGTGGGAGGCGGGTGTTAAATCGATGAAATACCACCTGAAGAGGACGATCGGAGTTCGTACACTTACGTATGAAGAGTTGGCTACTGTGCTAGCTCAAATCGAGGCTTGTTTAAACTCTCGCCCACTATGCCCTCTGAGCAATGATCCAGAAGACCTAATGGTATTAACCCCTGGTCACTTTTTAATAGGGGAATCTTTACTTGCTCTACCTGAGGGACAGGTTGATAACATTAGCCACACGGAACGATGGAGAAACTGTCAATATATGGTTCAGCAATTCTGGAAACGTTGGAGCTCTGACTATTTAACGCGATTGCAACGGAGACCGAAATGGTTAGAAAGGAAGGAGAATTTAAAGGCCGGCGACATAGTTATTGTTAAAGACGAGCGGCTTCCGTCTAATTTCTGGCCCCTTGGTCGAATTATGCAAACTCACCGAGGGAAGGATGGTTTAGTTCGAGTGGTCACGCTAAAATCTAACGGGGGCCTGATTAAACGACCGGTTGCAAAGCTCTGCCCTCTACCTATACAAGATAATTGGCTAAATTCTGACATTGACCCTCCACAACACTCATAAACTGCACTCTCTCGTTACAGCGTTGTTTTGAGCTTTATTTTCAGTTCTATTGGCCTGAAGTTGGAAAAAAAAAAACCAATCTGGATTAGACGATACTGAAGCTATCGTCAAGGGGGGAGAATGTTTAGGCAACGCAAAGTTTCTACCGGGGAACTATTTTATATTATAGCAGCTCAGATGTCGTTGCGCCTATGTTTTGGGAGTATGCCTTATGCATCTCTTTCGTAGTTGTTTTGGGAGCTACAGCGATCGGCAAACGTCTACGGTCTGCTCGTAACGCTCTTATACGGCGCTCTCGTACGCTATTGTCGCGTCGCAAGGTGCAGTTAGGACTAGCATATAAGTACTACATAAGTTCAAGAACCACATCGACGGCAATGAACAGCAAGCCGATGATACAGTCTGTAAGCGACAGCCCAGGAAAGCAGAACGCACCCTCTGTGCCAAAAATTGTATTTTTAACTTAACCTCTAATAAATCATTACGCAATCATTAAATCCGCGTGTAAAACCTTTCTCTGGGACCACCGGATCCGCCCCCCTAAGGAACGTCCACTGCCGCCACAGGTGTAATACCACTTTGTGTGCCGCATCATTATCTCAGCAGATTGGGGCTCCGTCAAGGCGCAGCCGTAAACCAACAGGGTCGGAAACGTTTCCTTCTCTGCGTTACACACATCCACTTTTACCACAAAGCTAATATACCCCTTAACTTTTTTTTGAGTACGGGTATAAAAAGAGAACACAGGGTACAATTTTAGTTCGACTTTTCCTGAGTTTTTAATGTCAAAATTTCGTAAAAAATACCGATTTTCAAAAATTCTGCAAAAAAAAGTTCTGCCATGGATAAAAAAATATCATCAATCCATATCTAAGCCCCAAATCTTTACGAATCTTTGTTCCTTGAGGAAAACTCGTGTCGAGTTGTGTAATTGGTGAAATCTATTGCATATATATTGATACCATTCATATCGTCATTAATCAGTTATTGGCAGTAAAAAACCCGCACAAGTTTTTGAGAACTAGTTAACTAAATATATCGACCTCAGCTGAACTTCTTGATTTTCACCAATCGTTAATTTTTTAAAAGTAACTAAAAAAAAAATAAAAATATCTTATTATCAATATGAACTAGTTTCTAAGTTTCAATATTGTTTGAAAAAACCGACAAATTCAATTTTTGTTAATGTTTATTTATTTAAAAATTTGTATTATCTTTTTGTGGTAGCAACCCCCAAACATTAAACTACAAATTTGAAAAAAATTGTATATCTTTATTCAATAACAAAAAACAGATTTAAAAAAAAAAATTTGTTGGTCAAATTTTGGACCAGCCTCTTCATCTCGCACCTTTCTTTCTTTCCTTTGCTTTGCCATCGCTTTCTCTATCTCTCGATCTATTGCAATCCGACACCGTCTTGAACCGACTTCCGCGTCTTCAATCTGACCCCGTCTTGAATCGAGCTTACTATCCCTTCGACTCTGTATCGCCTTATATACTACACTGCAATAAACTGTGAATATATTAACTGAACTGAATCATCTTCTCTTTAACAGCTTCGCAAAACAAAGCTACTGAATATCTCAGTAGCTCAACACTACGATTAGTATAAACATGTGTAAAATATGGATATGTAAATGTACAATTTAAAATGTCAATATCAATAAAAACGAGAAGGAACGTGTGAGTCGCTTCTGGGGACGCAACTCTACTTATTCCCGTACTGTCAGTATATACATTTTTGAGCTTATGATTTTTTAGAATTATAGAATTTAAAAAACTAATTTTTTTGCTACATCTGTTATCTACATATACAATGTATATGGGATGTTCTCAATATGTTGTCTGGGACTCTCTGTGCATGGCAGCAATCAGCTGTTCTCCAAAACTGACATCTGAATTTGGCGTTAAACTTAAAAAAAATGCTTTTAGCGAGACTGTTGGCCATTGAAGAGCTACGGAGGCAACATATTATAATAGAAACCTTGCAGCGCAGGCTTCTCAGATGCGCATCCGACTCGTTTTCACGTTCAGACGAGGACTCTTGTGCGCAGTCCGAATGTGTCAATTGGAAGCTTTTCCCAAGGAATGGAACATGTTAATGAACGGGAAAGGTGCAACCAAAGAGAGTTCGCTGCTGCCACTTAATCCTTATTTTGATAAGGAAGAAAATGTTATTCGGCTTGGAGGCCGATTGAGAGACGCATTACTGTCGAAAGCGGAGAAACATCCGTATATTCTTCCCTACAAGCATCCGCTGACAACGTTGGTTATACGTTTTAGCCATGCCAGTACTCTGCATGGGGGAGCTGCGATTACACTCAGCCATATACGAAAAAGATTCTGGATACTGAACGGGCGAAATGCTGTACGAAAGGAAATTCACCAATGTGTCGTATGTTACAGGTTGAATCCGAAGACCACTTGTCAGCAAATGGGAGATTTGCCAGCGGTTAGGGTTCGCCCACAAAGAGCTTTTGAATCCATCGGAGTTGATTATGCAGGACCGTTCAACATATCCCCTTCTAAAGGAAGAGGTCGGACAGCAATCAAGGGCTACATCGCTGTATTTATATGTCTGGTGACCAAAGCCATCCACTTGGAACCCGTGGGGGACTTGACATCAACCGCATTTATGGGAGCACTGCAGCGATTCATTGGCCGACGTGGGAAATGCACTCACATATATAGCGATTGTGGGACGAATTTTGTTGGCGCAAATCGAAAGCTGCAAGCTGATAAGTTGGCATACAGACGGTACATCGAAAATACTATCCTCTCAAAACTAGCAGATGATGGGATCACTTGGCATTTTAACCCTCCATCTGCACCACATTTTGGAGGACTGTGGGAGGCGGGTGTTAAATCGATGAAATACCACCTGAAGAGGACGATCGGAGTTCGTACACTTACGTATGAAGAGTTGGCTACTGTGCTAGCTCAAATCGAGGCTTGTTTAAACTCTCGCCCACTATGCCCTCTGAGCAATGATCCAGAAGACCTAATGGTATTAACCCCTGGTCACTTTTTAATAGGGGAATCTTTACTTGCTCTACCTGAGGGACAGGTTGATAACATTAGCCACACGGAACGATGGAGAAACTGTCAATATATGGTTCAGCAATTCTGGAAACGTTGGAGCTCTGACTATTTAACGCGATTGCAACGGAGACCGAAATGGTTAGAAAGGAAGGAGAATTTAAAGGCCGGCGACATAGTTATTGTTAAAGACGAGCGGCTTCCGTCTAATTTCTGGCCCCTTGGTCGAATTATGCAAACTCACCGA